CTGTGTAGACTCCTGCCTGACTTCCAGCTGCACATGGAAAACACCCCAATTGTTCTGTTTCCTTAAAATTAGGCCTCAGTGAGGCAAATCCTTCAAGTAGCCAATTCTGCTTAAGGTCCTGCACCATATTTGTTTTCAATTGGGGGGGAGGGGGGGGAAATCAGTGAACCAATTTAAGGCCATGTTTAAATTTTCCCACCCACCTGTGTCCTGAGTTGGGAGAGGAGGAGCAGGGCATGATGTTTAAAACAGAACCAGAATAATTCTTGCAGTGACAGTCTTTGACATGACTGTCAGCTGGTATCGGTAGGCAGTCTGCTTGGATCATTTTAATAAATACAAAAGGCAACTGGCTTATGGATATATCGGGGCAGAAATTAACTTGGTGTAAATGGTCATGTGCTGTGTAGCTGTAACTTTTGCTTTAAGCTGGTGGTTCTGAACATTGCTAGCTTTTAAGTTCATTTTGTGTAGCCACCTGCTTCACTTGAATTACACACATGTAGGCTGATGGTGTGCAGCTGTGGCCAGGACTGCACATGAAAAATAATTCTCCCTCTTCAAGGTGGTTCAGTGCTGATAGTCCAGGAACTTATCTCTGGTAACTTTAGAGACTTGTGTTGGTCACAGAAAGTGTTTTCCAACTTATTGCACCTTTGTCTCAGTAGGTTTAGCTTGGCAATATGTTGCCATAGAAACTAGCAGATGTTTCTCAAACAACTCTCCAACTAGAAGTTTCTAGGAAACCTGAGAAGTGGTGAGCAAGCTGCTGCTGCCAAGGACTTTCCCATCTTGCATTTTATCTGAATATTTCCTATTTATGGTTAACTAGGTTTGATTAGTTTTCTGCTAGGTCAGCTTAAACCTCTACTTGGTGGGGGCTGGGAAATACTGTTTGCAGTTGTCCAAGTTGAGTAAACAAGAGTGACTTTCCTTTTGGTGCTTCTACAATTGGAGCTACCAAAACTAAAATTGCAAACACTACACTGGCTGGAGTCTCTTTGCTGTAACTCCTTACCTGCTCAGCTTGATCTCCTTAGCTGAAGTTTTTAATGCAAGTCATCAGTGAAATTGGGTCTTGTTTATCACCTGGACCAAAACTACTTTATGCTAGAGTGTAAAAACAGATTAATGTCCTGTTTGAGAAGACAAGCAATTCTTTTTGAATGCTCAATATAGGCTTGGATGTGACCGTATTTTCACATTAAGGCTAGGAACAGACATTCAAAAAGCCTGAGGCTGAATTGATTCAATCTTTGCAGGTTAGTCTAACCTGGCTAGGCTGAACCGGTTTGTAACCATACAGACATCACCTCTGGACTGAAGAAATGCAGACACATGCATGCAGTGGCTCAAGCTGGAAGCCAGGGGGCAGCCCTCCCTTCCCTTCCAGAGTGCTGAGCTAAGGGGTGTGTGGCCAGGCCCTGGCAGGCTGCTCCTGATTAGCAAGGGACCCTCCCTCTCCCCCCACTTGCTGCTCCTGACCAGCTCAGCATGGAGTTGATAACATAGTGTTTATCAGCCCATTAAGAAAACAAAAGCCTCTCTCGTTAGTTCAAGTTCTTCTTAAACAACTTTTTCTAAGGAAGGAACACTACCAGTTACCTGTTGATTACCAGCCTTTGTCCTGCCTGCCTTACACAGACACCTCTCAGCATTAGCTAGTATACCACATGCATGCTATGGTGGGTGCTGTGGGGGGAATCCGTGCTTGAGCAGGGAGAGTGTGTGTGGGGGTGGGAAGCAGGAAGCCAGGCAGATGCCACTGTGCCTGCTATATCTGCCAGAGCTCCAGCCAGGAAGCAGAGGGGAAGGGGCAGCCTAGCTGTCTGGAACAGAGTCCTGCCCAGTGCTGCAAAGAATCTGGGATGCTGGGCATCTCATTTAAGTTAAACCAGGAAGGGGTCTGGGACGGACATTGCATAAATTGGTTTGACCCAAATCAGTTAAGTCTGATACTACATTCAACCTGGCTTATGTCACACTGGTTTTAGCCATTTTCAAGCTGGCTTATGTGCACTGAACATCTGTTCTGTAGGTTTAAACTAGTTTCTAATCACGTAAACCGGTTTATGTGTAATATCTGTCCCTAGCCTAAATGCTTTATTCTCACTTTGTTTGCAAATGGGCTATTTATACCAGTTAAATACAGCTTCATTTTTATGCAACTCCTGTCACATTGGTGGCAAGGTTGCTTCTTCCTCCCTTGGCTTTAGGAGCAAATTTCAGTCCACTGTGAAGTTACAGCTTTATTTATTAAAATGTCAAATTTTGCACTTCTACTTACAAGTCTGAATTGCCAACTCTATGTGCAGCCAAGAAGGGAGCACTAATATGTGATGATGATTTCCAGTAATAGTAGTGGTATTGCCTCTTTGTGTATCTTGGAAGATGATAGCCATTTGGATTTTGCAAATTTAAACTTTTCGTGACATGACAGATGATATAACAGGAATGTGTTTAACTTCCCCAAAATCCTTTCAGCAGGAAGAAGCTGCTTCATCACTTTGAGCTGGGGCAGTGTGAAAGATGAGAACAAAGGAGTGGAGTGTCTTTTTTTTTTTTCTTTTCTTTCCTTTTTTTCTTACACAGTTGAAATAAATTAAAGTTGAGTGATTCCTAAAAGACCTAGCTGTTTCTTTTGAAGGCAGCCTGGAAGGGTATATTGAAGCTGGCAAGGAAAGAAGCAGCTTTTATCCAAAGCATAAGCTTTCACCAGCTGCTACTCCACACCCTCTGTCTTTTATCTGGCTGCCCATCTTCATAAAAATTGGAATTAAAGGCACCTTCAGCACTACTGAACTACTTCTTGCCTTTTGCTCTCCCAGGTGCTTGCAGCAGGGAACCAAAGCAGCTGAGTGAGAACCAACATGGGAGCTCAGCTGGCAGTCATCTGCTCAGACTACATGGGCATGTTTGCCTCCAACATCACTTGCAGCTGACCCTTCACAACACTACTGGCTTTGGGAGGACAAATAGAGAAACTGGGGAGTTGAGGGGAGGGAAGGAGATGGAAAGAATCTTTCCTCTTTCAGGAGTTTTATACTGCTTTATAGGCAGGTTCCTTTATGCTGAGCAGTTTCCACGAGTACCTGGCATTAATGTTTCATCACAAATTTTAGCCTTATGGGGAAGAGTAGCAGTTCTTAAGGTGTTGAATTCAGCTGGTTATTATAGAATAACCTGCTCTGAAACGGATTTTGTTTTAAGTTCTGGGGGTACCTAGAGCTTTAGGAATCTTGCTTTGAGCTAACCTCACAGTAACAGAGCAGTTCTCTGATGCAGATGCGTGTTTGGTGAGAAATTCCCCAAGAGAGGAAACAAGCCTGTGAATAGAGTCCTTGCTCTTGAAGAAGCAGTGACCCCTTGAGCACCTTCCAGCAAAATGTCTTGGGACAGGGTAGGGCAGAAAAGCAGAGTTTGGGGGAGGAGAGGGGGGTATATTTCAGATTCCAGTATTGATTTGCTTACCTGTTTTCTAAGCAGGGGACCTACATTTACATAGCAATTCACAATATACTGATCATAATGCTGCCAGTGTCTGAGACCAGTTTTCCAAGCAAAAATTCATTTGTGGCAAATTTCTCTTCTTTATCCTTGGGAAAGAGTCCCTTGTTGTTTGAGGTTTCAGTGCTCAGCCCTGCCCTTTGGCTAGGGCTACCACTTTCTTTACCTCCAGCAGCAGAACAAATTGGTCCTGTTTCTTCTGAGTTTTTTTTCCTATATATCTTTCTTGCCCTCTGCATGAGGTGGCATTTACAGATTAACCCTCACACTGCCGCGGCATGGACCAGATGCAGCTCCAATGAGTTTGCCTAGAAGGGTGTTTTATCAGGTTAGCTCAGAGAAGTCCCACAGCAGAGCAGGGCTAGAGAAGATCTAAAGATCACCAAGTCAGAGGACGCACTTCTGTGTCCTGGAGGAAGGAGCTGGGTTCTTTGTGCATTTCCCACTTAAAATTGGGTATCCTGCAACTGCTGAAGGCAGGTCGAGGAATTGCTCCCTGAGCTTTCTCAAGAGGCAATTGTAAGCATCAGGTAGTCCTTACTGGATTTACAGGCAGTCCTCAGACTTGTGACACAATTGGTTCCTGAAAACCATGTCTTGCAATATTTCAGCTTAACTCAGAACCGATTTTCTTATATGAAACCATTATAAATGGGGGATATGATACCCTATTTTTACCAAAAATAACCCAAAATTTTGTACTCGATTATAGACAAGTACATTAATGTATATTGTAAGTAGCAATCACACTGATTTGGAAGGACTTCTTTGAGGTGACTGCTGGACTTTTTGAAGGGCCCTTGACTGGAGTCTTCTCAGGAGTCTTGGCTGCAGGCTTTTCTGGAGTCTTGGCTGCTTTCTTAAAGAAAGTGTCCAAGGAAGTTTGGACACGTTCTCCAGGGAGATGGGTGACGCAGCGAACTTGTTTGCTGGCGTGGTGTCGGATCAAGCATTGTAAACTTGAAACTGACGTCAGAAAGTTTAAATGGTGTCAATTTATAAATATTGTAAGTGCAAAACGTAACGTGAAACATTGTAAGTTGAGGACTGCCTGTACTTGATTCTAAGATGAGATTGCATTGGTAGGAGTGCTGCCAGCAGATCAAGGGATGTGATGATTCCCCTCTATTTGGCACTGGTGAGGCCACACCTGGAGTACTGTGTCCAGCTTTTGGGCCCCCGCTACAGAAAGGATGTGGATAAATGAGAGTCCAGTGAAGGGCAATAAACATAGGGGGCTGGGACACATGACTTCTGATTAAATAGCAGCCTTCAACTACCTGAATTGTGGTTCCAAAGAGGATGGAGCTGAACTGTTCTCCATGGTGACAGATGACAGAACAAGGAGCAACGGTCTCAAGTTGCAGCAAGGGAAGTTTAGGTGAGATATTAGGAACAACTTTCTCACAAGAAGGATAGTAAAACACTGGAAGAGGTTACCCAGAGAGGTGGTGGAATCTCTATCCTTGGATGTTTTTAAGACCTGGGTAGACAAAGAAAGCTGTGGCTGTTATGATATAGGTAGGAGTTGACCTGCTTTGAGCTGGGGGTTGGATTAGATAACCTCCTTGAGGTCCTTTCCAACCCTTGTTTTCTATGACTTTATAATGTTTTTTCCCCATTCATCATGGGGAAAACTGTCTCGTCTTAGAATCGCATATCACAACTGGGAGCTGTGAGAAATAGCTGTGCAGGGGGCCCAGCTAGGGCAGGGACAGTAGCAGCAGCTCTACTCCCTGTTCAGATTCCCTCCCGCCTCTTCCCTCCCCTTCCTTACGGGCAGGGAGCCAGACAGGGAAGGAGGAGTCTGCACCTGCTGCTGTTTTGGCCTCCAGCCTGCCCCTGCTGCAGGAAGCAGCTGTGCTGGGAACCCCACTCATTACCCCACAGATTTCTCCTTTCCTGCCCTGCTTCCTTTCCTTCTCCACCTCCTCCTGTCCCCCAGCAAATGGGGAGGGGGAAAGGGAGCAGGGCTGGGAAGGAGAGGTCTGCGGAGTGTCAAGCCAGGCTCCCAGCACAACTCCTTCCTGCAGCGTGGGGTGAGAGCAGCCCTGGGGCTCCACCTGTGCTTGGACCACAGGGGAAAGCAGGAGGAGGAGCAGGTAAATAGTAGCATGGTAGTCACCAGGGGGGCAAGGGATGAGGGGTAGGTTGCCTGCTCCCTTGCCTTAGCTTTCCCCCAACCTGTCCCCTTGGTTTTGCTTTTCCCATTGTCTGCTTCCCTGCTACTGTCTGCCTGCTGCAGCAGTGGGATGGCAATTTTTAAGAGACCCCCCCAAAATTAGATTCCAGATGCAGAAAATTTATGACAAATGTATAATTTTCCATGTCTAGAACCTAATTATTAGGGGGTAACCTTAACTTTGAAGACATCTTAGACTAGAGTAAATGCTGCACTATCAATGAGCAGGTTAGCTGAAGTTTCTTTGCCTATCTGCCCTCCTGTGGGGGCTGTCTGTGGGGTTTTCCGCCTGCACAGTTCCTCAAGGCTCTGTAGGAGGCCCTTCCCCCAATCTCCCGCATGTCTGGGCCTGAAGAGAAGCCTCTGGAGTGAAACCCTGCTTCATGTAGGCTTGTAACGGGAATTATGTTTGGCTCTTAGCCCAAGAGCCACCCCTGCCTGGAAAGGGGCTTCATCTCCAGGACGGGAAGCAGCCTCTTTCCTTGCTCCGTAAGCTGTTCAAGCGTTTAAAAAAAATGCTCCGGACACTCTGTCCAGATTGGAGGCATGTGTGAATCGATTCTCCACCAAACTGCCCCATAATAAGGGTCAGGGTGACAGCCCCACCTTCCTGGTGTTCAGACTGTTCCTGACTGATTGTACCGAGCTCGGCAGGGTAGGGCCCAAACTCCACAATCTAATCAGGGTGCCCATGATCTCTGCTGCACTCATTTCTGCAGGCTGGTTCCCTGAACAATCAGCAGAGCACAAGAGAAACATGGATGCTCGTGCTTCCGGAAGAGATGCCGGACTCTCCTTCCAAATCTCAGTGGGTACCAACACTTAATTCATTACTTCCGAGAGAGAGATTGTTTTTTTGTTTATACAAGCCCCCCCTCTTAATCCAAGAAATGACCAGAAACCTCAGCACGTTGTGGGGCAGCGAGGCAGCTTGTTCTGTGCATTCTCGTTTGTTCGGCAGCAAGGAGCGCCCAGCGTGTGAGCATGGGCCCCCGTTTGTTGTACTCCATGAGCAGCAGTGTCTGACCAGACCATGCCTGTACCCGTTTCCTCACGCTCCCTCTGTTTTCCGTGCTCCTTTTGTCAGTGAGAAGGAACAACTATAGTGCAGAAAAAGGAGGAATTACTTAAATTAATTTTTCGCTGCCTCATACTTCTTTCCTTTCCCTTTTTCAGGAACGATTCTCATGCCACAAAAAAAGGCCTTGTTGCTTCATCTTTCCCTCTTTCTGCTGATTTTTAGAGTAATCTCTATGACTGTCAGGCAGCCATGATCATTCTTCTGACTGACAAGCTTAGGCCATTTTGGACTTCATTAGTAGGTTAATTAGCCATTTTCTGATCCATCTCCTGGCTGTTTGGGATTTAATATTGCAGTAGGACAGCAGATGCTCCATCTTTCCTAGACCCAGTCACTGCCCCTGACTGGCTGTCAACAAGCTATGTACCATGGGTAGAGACCACTCCTGTAGACTTAAGCAGGAAAACATGGACTAGGAGGAGATGCTCTCAGTGAAATAGGTTTTCAGTGTGAGAACCTGAAACTGCCTGGACCTGGCCTATGCCCTCTGCTTGAAGGATCTCAGCTACTTGTTACATTTGAAACCAATGGCCTTTTCACTCAGTTAGTGGTCCACCTTGCAGCAATCTCTGCTTGCCACCCACCTAAGTCAGTGGCTTTCAACCTTTTTTCATTTGCAGACCCCTAAAAAATTTTGAATGGAGGTGCAGACCCCATTTGGATGGTAAGTGTGGGTATTTGCATACTTTTGATTGCTCATAGTCATATTTTATGGACCCCCTTAGACAGTCTTTGCACCTCCAGGGGTCTGTGGACCACAGATGGAAAATCACTGACTTAGGTAGCCCTTTTTTGTTCTTCCACACCATAGTTCTGGAATGTCTCAGAAGTCTGCAACATGGTTGGTTAGTTGTACTAGTCAGTTAATCTGCTTCTCTTTGGGATGTCAGTTTTATCCTCCTGATGCACCTGGGATGTACAAACCACTCTTTGAATGTCTGCTAGCTACAGGTAGAGGGGATCCTTACTAGCACATACTCGAGAAGAAAGTACAGTTATGTACCCTGCAGGAAGAATGGCTTTTGAGACACTGTAGTTAGTCTGGATCTTGTTCTCTGCTTTCTCTGTCCATTTAATGGAGTGCTCCACTGCCAGTGGTTTTGAACTACAAGGGAACTGAAGGTGGTGGTGGTGGGCTACTAGATCTGTGCTTTGTCTTTCTGTGGGAACTGGAGGAGGTGGTTGGGCACAGGGCATATGCTCATCCTTAATGGACTTGAGCATGGGGCATATGCTTCTACAATGGGTTTCACACTTCTTTATCTACTGAGAGTTAAAGATTTTCCTTGTAAGCCATTTACCATTACTTTAAAATTTGGAAGGATAGAAAAATGGACTTAAAATGAAAGACAGCTACAAATAGTACTTAGGTTGCTATTCCATTGGACATTTCACAGAACAATGGTAATACCAGCACTGTACAGACAGTACCTTTTCTTGTACAGCAGTCTTATTTACAGGACAAACCAATTAAAGCAAAGTGCCCTTGCTTAATTTAAACCACCAGGGGAAAAGAACAAACACAGTCTTCTAAATGAATAGGCTAGTAAGTGATGAATGCATAATTAACCAGACCCCCACCTTGACATTTGATATGCAGGTAATCCCTGTGCCCCTTAAGAAAGTAATGAAGTCCAATTTAGGCACAGAAGTCTGCCAACAGTCAATTGCAGAGGTGAGTTTTAAAATTAATAGTCATTTAAAAGTAATACTAATGATTGTTGCTGTGCAACTGTTTCCTTTGACACTGGCTGTTACTTTAAGTATGTATCAACCTTGTTATGCTGATTAAAACTGGCAGTCTGTCTTGTAGTCAAGTGACTGAAATTAGCAAATTTGACTGAAAACTTATGCACCTACTTCTGGGCAGGCAAAACAGATTGAACTGCAAAACTTAAGTGTTTAAAGCAAGGATTTAAAGTCTGCTTGATTGGGTGCTGTTGACTATAAATCTAAAAGGCATTTCACATTTTATTCACATCCGTCTTTCAGCGTTTATCTTTGCCGGAGTTCAACCATTGCAAACATTTGAAAAAATATACAAAAGTCTAGTTGAAAAAATCTTGGCCTTTTGCAACTGTGAAAGCATTTATTCATCTACTGAATTATCCTCCTCAGAAGCAAGATCTTGGTGGTCCATGTTGGGGAGAGACGAGGCAATTTTTATGGGAGAGTCTGCATATGCTGTATATTTTAAATTGAAGACAGCACTGCCCAACAAAAACAAATGGATATTTTTTTCTCTTGTTTTATTGTATAGGACCTAATGGATGTGGAAACAGTCTCATATTTGCTGTAGGAGGCAGCTGGTTAAAGGTCTAACTATAAAGTGTTTTCTTATAAGATGCAAAGGTCCAACATTTGTGGTGGGTGTTTCTTCTACGTTGCATACAAAAGCAGCATTATACTCTCTGCTGTGGTTTTAGGCAAAACAGTTTCAAAAGACATAATTCAGTGTTTCATGAATTTGTTATTTAAGATTCCCCTCCCTTTTAATTCTAGTTTACTATGAAATTCTGGAAATTGGGGAGAAGATTTGGAATCTGAAACATAATTTGTGGCTGAATTCCAGGGGCCCAAATTTTCCATTTCATTGTGGGTGTGGTTGCTGCCTCGCAATGCTCTAAGTACAAAAGGAGAAACGTTGCTCCTCCACAAGTTCCACCGTTTTATTTTTCCATTCATTCTTCCTCCTCTTTTTTATGCTGCTGACCTGCATTGCAGGAGCTCTTAATTTTGCAATACAGTTTTACTGGAGCCTGCTTTCCGTATCCAGGTTGTCTTTCGTCAGAAGCAATTTTAAAAATAAAAGACGTAACCAGAGTGTTGCGTAGTACTGTCATTGACAGGGAAAATATTAGTTGGTTGTCAAGGATGTCTCCTTTACTGGTCTTCCCCTTGGACCTGAGCCAGGCCTGTGGTAGTTACTGTAACCAACATATCCTGCTCTAGTACTTCAGCTGCTTGAAACTATGACAAAACCAGAGTCAGTCAAAACTTGCCCTCATTTTTTTTAGCAGAACACAACTAACACCCAGTGCAGTTTTGAAGGACCAGATCATGTATTTGCCAGGAAATTGGGGGTGGGAAGGAAACCCAGTCGACTTCTGCTCAGCATCTGGACTGGTTCCAACTGAGAACAAATTAAAACCAAGGAAATCAGCTTTTTCACACAGCCTTTGAGAGCTTGTATGCACTTAGGCAAAGCTGGCACTACTGTTGAAATCTAAGGCAATTT